AAAAAAAAACACATAAAAGATGACAATACCACTAAAGCTTTAAGTGTCAGTGATGATTGTGTGTGCCTCTGTTTTCATTATATATTTACCGCTCGACACATGGTGCCTCAGTCATGCTGATTTGTACAAAGACCCCTGCGTTATCTGGCTCAGCATTGCAATCTGTGTGTGAGATGTGTCTTACCATATGCTTGGTGCTTCTGTCCCGCTGATTTCCAGGAAATCATATTTGTCCTCTAATAAGAAGTCATTGAAGACGAGAGCTATGGTGTCCCCGGGCTCAGCAAGGATTGACCACGTACAGTCCAGGTTGTTGTCGTACTCTGCTGGGTATCCAGGGCTGGTTATTGAACCCGCGGTGCCTCGTAACGTACCGCCACACGCTCCCTCGGCTGGTTAGAAACAGATGAAACGAATGCTATTTTTATTATTTCATATACTGATTTTGTAACTTAACTTCTTGGCCTTCTTGGGTTGGCTTATCATTTATTTCATGTTTTTTGTGTCAATAAAGTTTTCACACATTAAAAACCACACTTTTTGACACATGCCTCTCTAACATTAGCAGACAAATAAACACAATGCACACACTATGAGCTGAAATAAATACAGTATTGTCATTCTCACATCATCACTATGATTTAGATCATCTGTTAATTTTCATTCACAACTACTCATTTAGTAAACCCTCAATAGAGCTATTCAACCATCTACTCACTCTAATGGAAGACATATGAACAGATCTGTTCTTGTCTGTAGACTAATGAACCATTAAAGGGGCTTTACTTAAGGATGTTGGGCACCATCTGGTTGATACAGTAGTTTGTGATGTAATTTGAGGCAGACTTTTCTGTGCTTTGGAAGCAATCAATACACAGGGGCTCTCATCTTCTGGCTAATGACCCTTATGTCAAGTTTCTTCAGTTCTCATGATCTTAGCGATGTGATTTTTTTTCTCATCTTTTACTTTCATGGCTATAATTGGTGAACAGTTTTTCATTTCCCTCAATCGGAGCTTAGTTCAGTTCAAATGAAAGAACTGAAAGACTCCAATGGAGACAATGGAAAGTACATACAGTTTACTTTTGAACTTAGCTTTGGGTCATGATTATGTGAAAGGTATCTTGTCAGTTTCGTTTAAGTAAAAAGAATGGTTTCCATCTTCTAAACTGTATTTACTGCAAGTCCTTTGAACGGCATTACTAAAAAATTTCTAGAAGCAATATCAATGAATTGAAAATGGAAAGAAAGAAAGAAAAAATGTCTTGCCTCTGCAAAAAGGCGATGGGAAGTCCCATTGTGCTCCACTTCCAGGCGATACGATGCATGTGAGGATACTGTGTCCTTCCAATACAAACCCTGACTCACAGCTGTATCGGATTTTATCCCCCATGTTGTACCGCGAGCCATGAATGACTCCATTTGGAATGAGACCAGGGGTGCCACATGTATGACTCGGCAGCACTGAAACAAAGAGAAGAGCAGACAGAGAAAATCGTTTATTACCTCTAAAATATCCATTAATTTAACTATTTGTTATAGTGAAAAATAACCAACCAAGAAGTTCTTGCAGTATTTTTTAATATTCGAGTGTTAGTGTGGCTTGTTACCACATAAAACAGCTCAACTATAGATCTATTAGTCAGTCAGGGTTACTGAGCAATTTGTGTTTACTTTGAAGCGGTAAAAATATCCAGCACAAAATAAGCAAAATGCTTTGAGTTCAGCATTTTGCTTTTATTTGTCTTAATCAGTTAATTATTAAATATACTATATTTTACA